TATCTGCGGCTGAGTGGATGAAGTACATACTTTTATAAAACATACGATAAAATAACTGTTAATAATTTAATAATAATCTGACGAAAAAAAATAGTATGATTTAGTATTAATTGTTATTAATAGGACTATATAAATTAACGATTTGAAATGCTTGGAATGTTGACCATCACGCCAACATAATCAATGTACCAGACTACAGTTCCTAGGTATCTTTACTTTTGACAGAGCATCTAATTACCGAATTAAAACGACTTAATACTTTATCCACATCGGCTACATAGTGTATAAATTAGTTGGATAATGTATATACTATATATATTACCTTGTTCGTATGGGTAAGCTTTTCCTTGTAAAACATAGATACACTGTCTACCAGTTTTGGGACCTAACCCGTAACATTATTACGTCATTATTTTGTACAACACATTTAAACACTGCGGTTCCTCGACCGTGAAAAAAGGCCAATTATTGTATTTAAAAAGTTGCAACTTTTCTCATGTATATAATATAATATATATATATAAATTTAAGGTTGAGCATAAATGTGTTAAAAAGTTTATTTTATTTTAACTTCTTAACTTAACTTATTGTTTCTTAATTCAAGTGAAATCATCAATTATTTCGTTAGCTTATAAGTTATAACTTAACTGAGTTTAAAAAATCATTTTAACTTACCCAGCTTTGTATATACTATGTTCATATGTAGTGTCAACTTCTGCAATTTGGTTTCATGGGGCAATATATATATAGCGATCGTTTCGATGTTTATTTTTTCATATTATTATATACATCACGAATACATTAATTATAAGACCCGTTCAACATAGGTATATATCGCCCGTTGAAATAATGTGTCTTGTAATCACAGAACAAAATATTTTGTCTATCATTAATACAGAAATAATAAAAGGCAGAAAGTAGATGGAACGATCTTTAGATCAGCACATAATGTCATAGTTAATAAATATACATCTCACAGAACGCTTCTAAAAGTGAGTCTTGCTAATAAAATAATATGATACACCACGCAAATATCGATTACCACGGCCTTACTATAAAATTGAGAGAAATAAGATTGCACATTTATTATTATTTATTTTTTTTTTTTTAAATCTTTTGAGTATTTCTCAATTATTTCTATAACTATAACAAACGATTTCGTATTTTATATTTCTATTAAATATTTAACGAGTTGCATGTATTGTGATTGTATTTATATGAATTGTATATGTACATCGAAATCTTCACAAATAAGTACCAGTAGTCGGGCGTGGATTCAGAGGGGAGGGCGAATGTCCCTGAGCCCCTCCTTGGAAATATTATGTATTATGTAATTATTTATACAATATATAATTCACTGCACGTCTTAAAAACCATACATTTAAAATATCAATAAAATTGTTAGTATTATATTATTATTGTTACCTCTTAAATTGTATCTATAAAATATAATCTATTATGTACCTATACTAAAATTGTAATTGTATTTTTTTGAAAAATGTAGCCCTCCTCCTTCCATTTCAAGTTTCTAGATCCGTGTCTGTCAATACTTTGACTTGCGAGAGAACATAAACTTGTGACCCGACAAAAATCAGTTCTTCTACGAATTACCAAGCGACACCATGTCATGGTGAACAACGGCCTTAATGGCAAGGTGTTGCGTGTGTGTAGGCAGAATCGGCGTGTTCTCTCGCTAGGTAGAGGATATATCTACTATAATATATTAGGTATGTATTAATGTATTATGTATTATTAAACTAATAATAAATTATTTTGTACGTGTTCAACGTGTATAATAGAAGAGGATCACGATTATTTGATCTACAAAAAAACTAAGATAATATAATAGGTAGGTAATAATATACGTGTAAAAATGTCTTGCATTAAGATTTATAATTTTGTATTTAACGTACTCGTATTATCTAGAAATGTATACGGCTAAATGTTATTGAGTAATAACAATGCACTCCTGATTTTAATATATTTTTAAGTACCTATACATATACAATACATATATAATTATATTATTTTTTCTCGTGGCCACTTGTCCAAAAATATAGATCAAAATACGATCACCCTATATATGTCACGATCGATTCGAATGATATCGAATGCGCTCAACTTAGATTATTTTGTTTATTCTATATTATATGCCCGATATAGTATAATTATCATTAATTTTACTATCGTCTTTATAATATTATTGTATTATTTATATTTATGACAAATGACGCGTCGTACATACATTTAAATATTTAATAGTTATAAAGTGTATACAAATATGTGCAGACAATATACATATTATATTTTATTGATCGTGTTATTATGTGTGATGTGTGTATTTATTGCTACGGATTTAGTCCACGACGTCATTTTAGTAATTCATAATATTATATTATGACGTACAATACGATATATTTATCATACGACGTGCGACGTAGTATACCGTTTAGTGGAAACATTGTACCATATAATTTTATGTAAGTGATCGAAATAACTGATGATTCCTTATTCCTTATTTGCAATCAATAATAACTAATTACTGACCTAAGATGCGATGAAATTATAATATGATCTAACATAGTAACACATATAATCGTACTGGTACGAAAACGAAATAATAAATATGTGCAACTAACATTGAAATATACAAATTTATAAATTTGATATTATTTGATATTTGTATTTAATTAACTATGTTATATTAAAATTATAAATAGATACCTAAAGCACATTTTAGTGTTTCACCGAATATATTTTCGTCTATTGAGAAATTATATCTTTAGCGACTATATATAGTGTAGTACGGTTTGATTTATTGCCTTTCACACCAAATTTTAAAATTTCAGAAAACCAAATATTTTTATCAAAAGAATATTTAGACATATTTGTAGAAAAAAAAACATCGTAAAAGCTACTCATAATGAAAAAAGTTAATTTTTCAAAATCTAAGGGGTGGGTAATTTAAAAAAAAAATAAACGATGGTAGAGGGTCAAAAAATGACAATTTAAAGAATTTGAGCTATGATATCCTTTCATAATCCCTGTCCTCCTACATAAATAACCACTGTATATGGAGATTATTTTTAGATTCTGAGTGGAGCGAACGATGTATTGATTTTATAAATATGTTTTTTTTATTTATTTATTTTTGTGCTTGAAGATACTTTTTCAAGAAGAAATATGGTCCGAGGCTTTTCGTAGTAAATTTTATATATTTTGCACTTTTGAGAGGTAAAATTTGAATATTCTCAGAACTTATAAAAATAATCGGAGGGAGGGAGAGGATCCTTTTTCAAAAATGTTTTACTTTTTACTAGTTCTTTTTCTTATTTTCCATATTAAGCATACCTAATGTTTTTTTTTGGTTTAATATCTATTCGAAAAGTTAATGCAACCTGCAGTGAAACAGACCACTCTGTATGCGCATTAATATATTATGGTGCTACAAATTACAATAATATATTATTATTGTCTCGGTGGGCTCGGCCCTCACATGATTCGAGGCGGAATATATATAAACGTACACCGTTTTGTAAACAAGACCTCATTAGACGATAATATAGGGATCACTCCCCAACCAGACAATATTTTATACGTCTATACGGTAATATAATAATCTAAATATATAATATATAAGAGGCAATGTGTAAAGGGTTCGGTAGATATTGCTTTTACATGTTTTTTGAGGGATATTACCATATTAGGTTTGTTCCCAAGTAAGATAGAAATATATTATTAGTTCAAAATATTACGAAGAAAAATATTAAATGTTTATATTTTAAAGTGTATTTTTTAGTTTTGATGGCATAATTCTTAATTTTACAATTTTACAATCTTTATTAGTATATATCATTATGAATAATAAATAATAAACAACTATAATACAAGTCTGAAAATTAAAATATATAATAACTAATAGTAATCAGTAATCACCTATAGCCTATAAGTAGTAAATTATACGTATACATTTGAGAGATCTCAGTTTTCAAACACCTAGATGATATAAAAAAACAAAATTGATTTATTATTTTCTTTAAATTATGGGTTTTCTATCTTTAATTTGTAACTATAAACATATAATTATAATAATAAGAAAAATTTTATTCAACACAAGTTTTAAAAGTTATTTTTGCTATATTTATTAATAGTATGATTTTATAAATTAAAAATTAGGTATATTTTGAAAAATTACAAATAAAGGTATTTATTTTTCATTTATGTAATTTAAGGGCTTAACTCCAAAGGCATATCAAATTAACTTACTTCAGAATAGTAATTCTAGGCTGAACTGTTTATAATTTGTATATTATACAATATTACTGTGAATACCTATGTAAGGTTGTGGTTTATTGGTTTAAAGAATCAAAAACTACTAAACCGATTTTTTTTTTAATGCCAAGAATCGTTTTCAGAGATACCGGGAAGAGTTTAGAGAGTAGATTGAATAACGTCCAATAGACAATAGGTGGTGCTGAAAAACTTTTTTTGTTGATTACATATTTACATGCCATCTGTAGTACTACGGGACTCTTTTGTGGTACTATAAAGTATACACTATGCCCACTAATAATATCGTTTAGAGAAAGTTATTTCCTAAAGTATTCCTACGTACCTAAGTCAATTGTTTGCAGAACTATTGATGTTCCCTCTTCACTCTTACAAGTGAACTTTAAAGTTCCTTTCAGTTAATAAGGTACCAATAATTAATAAGTTCCTCTTGTTGTTCTCATCCACAGTACCTACAACTATGGATTCATAAAATATTAATTTGGCAAATTAAATAATCACTGTATTATTGTTATTATTATTTTAGTACTTTAATTTAGGTTTACCAAGTTATAAATAATAACAGCTATTCGTAGACTTATAGACCAAATTGGTCGTATAATTTAATGGATTGTAGTATTGGGCCAATTCCCGTAACGGGCCTTGGAAATCCTAAGGACTGTCGCAAATTTATAATAACAAATAATTATTATATATTAAAACACATTCAATTATATCAATAATAATAATAATAATAATATTATCATTATCGTTTTTATTAGACTACGAAAAATACCGACTACGCTAAATCATAATATATAATATAACATATATAATGAATGTGTGAGTTTCGTTCTTGTGTCGATCGTCCGGTTCAAAGCACAAGTGATGCAGCCCGCGAAAGTCGTCTACACGGCCTGACGTCGCACCGCCGCCGATTCGGTGGCGGCTTGTAGTGGCTGTTGTTGCTGCTGCTGCTGCTGCTGCTGCTGCTGCTGTCGCTGTTGTCTGAGCAGCGTCGCGTTCGACTGCTGGTACAACGCGTTCCTGGCGTCCCGCCGGTATAGCAACGTTTGGCGGCCCAGTCTGGGCACTTGCGGCCGCGCCATGATCGCCTGTCGGCCCAGACGCGGCGAGAACGGTGGCGAGTACGGCGGCGATCGGGCCGAGTGCCGCGACCGCGACGCCACGTCGTCATCGTCCTCCTCCGATGATCTGCCGTTCCTCGCGTTCTGCTTCATCTGCATCTGAGTGTACACTGCCGGCAACAACGCACAGATATAAGTCCATTTATATTTATTTTTTAACTACTAATACGTACTTCTGTTAGGTATATAAAAAATAATACGAAATCCGACCAATGTACGGTATCAGTTATAGGGATGCAGAGGACATTTTAGCATATACATAATATAAATTGTTTTACTGTGGCTTACACAAAAATAGACTTAAATCAACTTTATGTTCAGATGAAACTGGAAGTGTTATTTTACTTTGCATGTTTCTTATGCTCTTTAGGCATATTTCTCTTTTTTGATTTTTTTATTGCCTAAGTAACTTTTTCAAAGGCCATGAATTTCAAACAATTAACTGTTTTATGAATGTTGTCTTAACCAGCATTTTTTATTCACCTAATTAATTACACAAAATTTCGAAACAGTGATAAATATGATTTTATGTTTTCATTAAAACTACGTAATACCCACTTGTGTTGTCCCCGTCTTAGAAATTTAGCAAACTCGAAGCTCAGAAAATCAAGTTTAGCTCTGTTATGATCATTTTAAAATGTGCAGTTTCAAAAAAGGTCATAACTTGCTTGACAATTATAATATTAACAAGAGCTCTAAATAATAATCTTACCTTTAAATTTTATAAGCTAATTCACTTTAATTTTTACACTAAAAGTGTAAAATTTGCGTCCTATATTACGCAATTGTTGACGGAGACAACACATGCGGGTATCAAGTTCTCTTAAAACCTTTCGTTTTAATGAATATTATTATCGAACTTAACAAACATTTTTAAGTAGGTACCTACGCATGAGCCAGTTTTGAACAGTAGGTGTTTAAATAAAAGTATTTTTATAATGTTTTTGTATTTTAAACACTATATTCTACTTAACAAAAATATATTCAAATATCTACTGATTTTGTTAGTTTTTTTTTAATATTTATATTTTTAAATTCGAATACTTTTTTTGAAAGTTTTCATTATTAATATTAAAATATGTGCTACCATTGCAAATTATGGACCGGTTGAAAAATATTTTTCGAAGGGCCGATACTAAATAGGTACTCAATCCGGCCTCGAGTATTTCGAATACAAAATATACTTATTCTTTACAAGACTATATAACTGGCAAGCGTATATAATTTTATTTTTGTACTACTGTACGGACGGAAGCAAGATTTAGCATGAAAACACGCCTCCGACACCCGAAGAAAAGATTACTCGGGTGATTATCGCCACACATACACATATAAAAAATATTAAATACACACTGAGCTCATAGATCTACACTTTGGCCTTCAGCGGTACAGCTGCACAGGCGATCGTATAACGCGTTATTTACATTTTAGATAATGATTTGTTATTTCTGCAGTTAGGGGCGGTGAAGCAATAATAGTAATAGTTATTATTATTTTTGCAGGGTCTGGCGCAGGGTATGGTGTTGGTTTCCAGGAGGCTTTCGTCACGCCCACTCGCGGTGAAGTCGGAACGGCAATTTATCATAATCGTTTTAACGATATTGTGATGTTCTGTAATGCTCAATGTATATTGTATCATATTATATATGACGACGCGCTGTCTGCTTCTGCCGAGGGCGAGTATCGGATATTAAGGCGAAACAAAAAACGCGATAACGATGCTGCGACGCAATTTTAAACAAATACAGGCAGACTTCCGATATTATTCATATTATGTCTTATAATCATATGATTATGAACATACGTGTATTGCTGGATATAATATTATAAAAAAGTATGTAGGTGATGAATATACAGTTTATATGTACGATATGAAATTAATACATGATGGTTATTGACGTCCACGCCTATAGCGTAATTACGCAGTTGGTGATATTATGCTACTCACCTGAAACTTTTTTTAAACTTTATTGACTTGTATTTAGTTGAGTATATTATATATCACAATGGTATAAGAATGAATTGAGAAATATGTCATGTAAACTTTAGATCACGAGATTTTCGCAAAATGAAATCATATAAAGAATAACTTACCAGGGCTCTTCTTTTTTTAATTTTATCGAGACTTTGAACAATCAAAAATTTAATTATATTAAATTTAACATTTGTAATATATTACATACTGATAAGTGATTAATAACAATTTATTTAACTAAAATTTACTTAATGCATTTCAACTCGTGATCATCATTGTCAAATATTTTAATACGTTATATTATATTGCTATGCTGTGTTTACCGTTTACGTCATCCTAGAAAACTTCAAATTAATTGTCATGTTGTGTCTTAATAATGGACGCGCCGCCATTCCTCTTTAAGTTGGCACATTGAAGATCTAACAAATCTATTACTATTGCTACAGCGTGATAGAAGGACACAACACAGACCAAAATAATTTAATATCTAAAAGTGAGTTATTAGTTTATTACGTATTGTGGGTCTCGGTGAATATTTACCGATAATTGACCAGATTTTTAACAGTATACATTATAATAGCTATTTAGCTATTATAGTATTGTTTGACCATTGATCGTTATAACATTTTGTTTACCTTAATAACACAAGTCACAGGTACCTTCCCGTAATAAAATTAAATAAAAATATAAAATAGTATATTAGAGTTGTATGAATGTCATATATTTGACAGTAAATGTAGATTATAATATATACAGCGGTAGATACCATAATACTACACGAGTACCGAATTTTGTATGAATAATGTTGACTCTTGTTAAGTTCGCATAATATCTAAATTAGGTATATTAAATTATTAAGATTCATTTTTGGTTTCAAAAATAGTCTTGAAGAAACATTTGCCCAATATGCTTTGGCTGCGGTTTGATGTTAGGTTGTGTACCTATGTGTATCGTGTATAGTTAGTTCATTTATGATTAATTTGTTGGTTTAGTGGTGTCACTTGATAAATTAGCCCACATTTGGAAAATAGACAATTGTAGGTATATAATAGGTAGGTTATCTAACCTATTATTTGTATATGTGAAATCGGAATAGTTAACTACCATAAATTGGGGTGACTTTGATACATTTTGTTAATTTTTTCGTTCTTTTAATCATAGTTTTTTTAATAATTATGCTACAGATCTCAAAATAATGTTGTTCTATCAAGTACTATTACTATAGCCAGACGTGTCAAAAAATATATTGTTCTTTAAAACCCCAATCTGAAGTCCAGATGGATATTTCTTGGAATATTATTATACTAACGCTCGTTTACGATAAACAGAAACACTGGACACAGTACATTTGTGTGTTGTATCAGTACATGCAATCCTCTTAAGCCGAATTGAAATAATATCACTGAGTCATTGGTGGGCGGACAGCCGGTTTCTTATATAATATATTTAGGTAGGTACAATAAGGTACATATGTAATAAGTTTATACATGGCAGTATATGTGCTGTACATAATATATAAATATATATAATATATATACATTAGACCACGGTGGGTGACCAGAGAGTCATTATGGGGTGTGTTTTACCAAAACATGTGATATGATGTATGAGATCAATCACACTGGGGTGTGAAACAAAAACAAAGAAGAAGGGCGTAAGTACTTCGTGGGTATGATATAGGCGATATAGTCTATAGGTCATATTAGTTTATCCCCAATCACCATTATATTCACCGCTAAGACTTATAATAGGTACATCATCGCAGCATTATTACAGTCTCATTGATTAAATATAATATGCATAAAATAAAAATACATTAAATAAAAATATATATTAAATCAATGTCTGTATAAAGTTAGGTAGTTAGTAGTTACGTTATAAATAGCTTAGAAAACGTTTTAAAATTTAAATAGATTATATTTATCTTCACTAAATATTGGTCAAATCATATAAATAAGATTCAATTCAAACACTTATACAACATACCTATAATATTATCAAAGAACAATTAAAACCCTTTGAACGAAATCTACAAGATTAAATGTGTTTTAACTTAGAAATTATTTAATTATTTGATATTCAAAGTTCAAAGGAATTTTTAAATTTTTATACAAAATTGAAACATAATTATCAACCGAATACGCATTATGATGTATGTCTCATAGGAAATCATATTTATGTATACTCTCCGTCTGCAATAAATACATACAGCAGATAGTGAAAAACTATAAATGAATTGTAACGTATGAACAGTAATTTTGACTGCATTATATAACTGAAGTTGACTTTAGTTGGCTCATGTATCATATTATATGATACCTAATACTTAATTACAAAAAGTACTATACTGATATTTAGTGACTACGGTGTAGACGTATAGTTTATACTACTATGTTAAAAATGTATCGTCTAAAATGTGTTATAGCAGTGCCGTAGCCAGGAGGGGCTGAGGGTCAACCTCCCCCCCCTGAAATGTTAAGAAAATAAAAAAATTATTTTATTGGTCCATGAAAGTTGCAACAAAAACCAAATTTTTTTACTAGTTTTAAATTGTCATCTTTATTTTGTTATCTTTCTATAGCCGCGGCCGTGCTAGTATTATGTATTTAATGCATATAACATTGTGCATAGATCGCAATAAAACAAAATATTAGAGTTCTGCGTTCTGGTTTTTCATTGTTATCACATTAATCTGAATCGACTGCAACCGCAGAGGGGAGTTTTCCTTCTTTGTCAAGACTAAAAACATACCTTATAAATTCAACTTCAGCGTCAAGATTTGTCGGACTCACATTATAAACCATTCATAGATATATTGACATTTCAGATGATCAAATATTGGACATATTTGCTAATAGTGGAAAGGCTCAAAGATTAAAATTATCACTTTAATTTTTTGTCATTTAATAATAACATTGTTTAATAAATAGTAAATAAATATTGTTCATTGTTTGTATTAATCATATAATTACATATATGTGAAATATAAGTATACTATATTATATCCTAATAAAAAGAAAATTCATTACTATTTTTATTATTTTTTTAAAATAAATAATACGGGTAAAATAATTTATTGTATATTACAAAAAAGTACAATATCAAAAGTATTTAAAGTATACAAGTGTATTAAATCAATATACGTAAAGGTTTATAGGAACCAAAATCTAAAATAAAACTTCGGAACCTGCATGTTCAAGTTATGGAAGAACCTAGGTAAACCACCGCTGTGTAAAAAATTGATCATCCCCCCCTCCCTGAAAGAAAAATCCTGGCTACGCCACTGTGTTATTGATGAACCCAATTCCAGGCCCGTTAATACCCAGTTCACAAATATCCAGGATGTATTATTATTTATTACATAGATACGAAAAAACCAAATAACTTATGTACATTCATTGTCAAACCTCATAATATTATATCAATATCTCATGAAACGATATAATTATTTTGTAATTTTTTTCCGTGATCCCTCTCCCACACCATAACTATGGTATATACTCACGGGTATTATCGATGATCGGTACGAGCACCCACGGCACGTTGTTGATCATTTCCGAAACAGCGACCTGCTCAGCTGCCACCGCCGACGCCGAGCCTGCAGCCGACGGATCCTGTTGCAGCAGCGACGAAGCGGCAGACGCAATCGCGTTCCCTTCTACTGGATGCGCGGCTCCCCCGCCGAACGGCGATCCACCTCGGCGTTTTCTACGGCCCAATCGCGGCCCAAACCACATGCCGCCGTTGCTCGACTGGGTCGTGTCGCCCCGTTTGTCGGCCCCAAACAGCGCGGCCGTGGCCACACCTGTGACCGGAGATCCGGCACCGTAATAGCCGCTTGATCCACCGCCGCCGTTTTCTCCCCGCCCGACGCCGCCACCGTAGTCGTACCACAACAAGTCGGCGACGGGCCTCTGTTGCGCCGCCGCTGCTGCAGCGTCGGCCATCACCGCCGAATAATCGTAGTCCAACTGTTCCATGAACTTTTGTGCTTCTTGTAATTCTATACATAATAATTATACAGAATATAATTAAATTAATTGTACATAATTACAGCATAGATCACTGAAATGAGCATCGGTTAGTGCTAGTGCAAGCGTAACGCCATAGGTCTCGACAGAATCGCGGACGTTTAGCAACCGCCGTTTCTTCCCCGTCAAAAAAAAAAAAAAATAAAATAATACGAATGAACCATTAAGCAAACACTAAATTTCGTCAAAGAAATACAAATTGAAAATGCATTTTAAACTATTATGATATATGTAAAAATTGTATTGTACTTATTAGGACGCCATACTACCCGCATGCTTTGTCTTAGTCTTACAAATACATAACATATCACATTGTACGTTCTTAATAATTAATTTAACTCGGTTATATTTAATTTCAGAGTGAATTAATACCTATAATCGAATTTAGTAGTAAGAATAATATTATCTAATCGATGACATAAGTTTTTTTTTATACTTCAATTTTAAAGCGAGTTATGAGCATTTTAAGATGTACAAACAATTAACTATTTTAAAATTCTCATAATTCGCTTTAAAATTGAGATTTAAAAGAAAACCTGTGACATCGACTAGATAATATTTTTACTACTAAATTTGATTATATAGGTCACTGGTCAATTACCCCTAAGGGCTAAGGTTAAACATAACAGAGTTAAATTAATTATTCAGAAAGTACAATGAGCTAATGTTATGTGTTTGTACGACTGAGACAAAGCATACGGGTACGAAATCCTCTGAAATAGAAACAACTATAAAATTGTGTAAAATAAATAATAATGTCAAATATCAGCCAACGGCCATTGCGGCAGAGGGTTGTTTATAATGAAAAGAAAAAAATCAAAATATTATTTTAGATTTTTCAAAATAAAATAAAGTGTTCTATTTTTTTCATTAAAGCCTTTAACCTATTACATATTTTTTTAATTGTAACATTACGGATTAATACTTAATATACCTATACAATATTATACAATTAATGTCGTATAACTTGTATTTTGAATGTTTTAGTGCATTATGCCATTATGCATTGTTTTACCTTTTATATTAAACAGAATATAATAGCCAATAGGTATTAAGCACTTGTAGAGCTGTAGACTTCTTCAGAAGAAATTCTTTAGAAATACTTTTTTGTGTGAGCCTAATATTGTGCGGTTAATCTGCTTATAATATTATTATAGTCGTACTTGAAGATAAATATAATTATAGGGTTTAGTAGTTGGTAGCCCTGGAACAATTCGAGATGTAGTGATAATGGCCCGGCATAGTATCATTTTATCAGTTCCACAATAATTATAATTTTTGCTATTTGTAAGTGTTTGCACGTGAGTTAATAATTTTCAAATTTTTTTTATTTGACAGTAATATATTTGAGAACATAGTCATATAAGATTTAAACAAACAATGGCAGATTTCTTTAATAATAATACTGATAATTTTGACTTGGGTTCCTCGTCTGGTACCGGTACCACCGACAAATTGAAAGCCGATGAAATACAAAAAGTTATAATGATGGAACAACAGAAAGCTCAATTAAACGCTCAAGTAAAATAAATATTCTCATGCTCTGCCCTCTTCTTTCCCACTACCAGTCAATTTAATTTTCTAGATACAAGAGATCAGTGAAATGTGTTGGGAAAAGTGTGTGGATAAACCATCAGCAAAGCTTGGTGCAAAAACAGAAGCGTGTCTTTCAAATTGTGTTAAAAGATTTTTCGACTCTTCGGTTATTATTGCACATAGATTCAATCAGTTGATCCAAAGATCCAACACTGGTTAGTCAAATACCTACGTTTTTGTGTTTTATTCTTTATTATAATGTTAATTCTGTAGTAATTGAACGAGGAACTTTTCAATATAAATCAAGTAATACAAATTGTCTTTCATAGTTTTGTATTGATTGTACATACCTATAGTTTGAGTGAAACTTGCTTGTTATATTATTAATGTTCGATATTGTTCAAAATAAAATAAAATATAGTTTATAATATTATACCTAATCATTACAAATAGTTTGCAATATGTTTCCTATTTTTGTTTGTTTCTCATAAATAATTCCTAGTTCTAAACATTTTTATAAAAAAAACAGAGTCAAATTATTAACTATGTACCTACACTTTTTGATTAACAATTACATAAATGGTCTAAATATTGTTAACAATATCAATTGATGAGAGTACTTAAAATCATAAGTAAATAAATAATAGTTACCACTACCATAAAATTAAAATAAACTTAAAGATAGTTTTCAATAGAAGACTCGTAGTATTTTTATCTTATACCTATTATTTAACATGCAACAAAATAATTTGAATAAATGATGAAAAATAAATCCAAGATCCAAAAATGTATGATATAAATATTAAATTTTTATGTCTGTTGAGTTTATACAACTATTTTAATGTTATATGTTAATCTAAAAATGATTTTATTACCGTGAAACAAAAATATAAATTGAATGCCTGAGTTTCCTCTTTAAATATTAGGAACTTAGCAGTGCCTTTTTACTTTACAAAAACTAACTATAAAATTAAAACCATAAATATTTTTTATTCGCATAAAAATACATTTAAATTTTGTATAAAATTAATAAATATTAAACCTAACACATATTTACATTTTGGTCTTTCAACATTTCTTAATAATTTCTTTTATTTGTATTGTTATTTACTGAATATAAACTTTAAACTAGTCAATTGACATTATATGCCAATAACTCAATATTAATATATGTTAAGAAATTATTGTTTTATATTAGTGTTAAAACTAATTTTATTTCTATAGTATTATATTGTTGCTAATAATGAAAAAGCACAGACTAATACCTAATAAGTAATAAATAAATAATCAAAGTAGGAAATATTACTCTTCAACTTACAGAAATTCCATCCCAATCAGTAAAGTACTTAAGCCTAACCTTTGACGTCTAATGTCTTCCCTGGGGACTGCATATTAGAACTAAAAACTTGCCATAAACGAACGACTACGTTCAATTAAAACACTAATATCTAACAAACACACCAAACTAAACAACAACTTTCTCATGTATGAATCTTCAATCAAGCCCATGTAGACTTGTGGCCTAAAACTATGGGGCAATGCAAAAAAATCTAATAGGAACAAAATTCAAACCGTTTAAAATAAAACCTTATGCATAATCACTAATGCCCCACCAACTATACCCTGCACTCAGACTTAAATATAAAAGCAGTTCGCGCTGAAGCAATAACGTTTTACAAAAAATTTCATGATAAACTTCCATCTCATCCCAATTTCTTTGTATCAAATTAAGCTTCTCGTTCAATTGCGGGCAATCCCAAATGGCGACTGAAAAGAAATTGGTGCAGAGATATACTTAATGATTAATTTTAAAAAAAATTTAGAAAAAACGAACAAATAGGTAGTGCTTTCACTGGATGGTTTCTTCCATCACTCTTTTTCATATACATAATGTATCACTTATCAGTTATCACATATTGTTATTCTGCCCAAGGGTACAGATTGTGTATTTCTTGTCAAAAAAAAAACTTACAAAAATAGAAAGAAAAACCTCATTAACTTATTAATTTTTATCAATAAAATGCTAAATTCTACATGTTGTTTTGAATTTTAAATTGTTTTGAACTATTTGTGTGAAAACCTCTAAAATTAATAGTTGACATAGAGTTCAAAATTAAAATATCATAAAATTGAATTCAACTCAACCTTTATTATATTATCATCTATTCATTTAAAATGTAATATAATCATAATTCTATTAATTAAACAAGGTAAATTATTATTAGTTTTAAAAAGATATTACCGTAAAGTGACATTTTTACTATAGGCGCACACTACTGCCTTAATATAAAAACAAGTATGAATGTATAATACACAATAAAAAATATTCTGCTTTACAGATGAAGGTGTCCTTAGATTTTAAAACTATGGTTTTATATTAAAAAATTTCAATATTGTTTGTTAAATTCCAAATAAACTTGTCCAAATTACAGTTGATGAAAGTGTAAAATGTTAAGTTTATTTTACTATTGCTACAAACCTCGCACAACCAAGAATTTAAAATATTTCATGGAATGCACAATAAATTGTACAAATGAACATCTAACTTAAACCCACCTACAGCAAGTACCATGTTGTAACACAAATATTATAAAAAATGTTGACGTTTTCAAAAAAAAAAACCGTTTTAATTATTATTTATTAAGTCCTTACCTAACAAAATAAAATTTTAATTATATATTATTATACTATTTTACATTTATTACTCACCATTTAAAATGCTTGCATTTGTCATCAATAGAGAACATGCAATAAACCACAAATAGCACACGGTGCACATGTTGTTTACTATGCCTGTACAGTTATTTTGAGTGTGTTGGGATGAATAAATCGTCGGAGACTGTGACTCGGTCTTTTATACAATAGATCGTGGGTGAATTAAACTGAAGAAATGCGTTTTGGATTCTCAAATCCTTTTATATATATATGTATAGGTACGCAAATACGCAAAAGGTGTATTACAAGTTACAGCTTTGACAAAACAAAACAATCAATTCCAATTTGGTCTCGAAAAAAACAGCAGTTGAAATACTAGAACACGATAAATTTTTATTTGCTCGGATTATTACTCTTCGGATTGTCTTAATTGTATCATTTATTTGCCAATGTTCATTTTAAAAAATGTCTCTTGTTTTATTTATCACATGCGTCATCGTGGTTCCAGTTTAAGGACAATCCTTATTATTGCACCATAAGTAATATACTAATATCTATTGAATTTTTACAAAATAGGTATATTAAACGATGGCGAGTGCATAAATAATCAATCTTAACAAATACCTATCATTCGTAATTAAATAAGTAAGTTTGGGGAACCTGTACATAGAGAGTACACAATATCTCGCGCCTGCCTACTTAAAAAAAATCCAAACCACCGAAGTTATAATAAATAAATAAATAGTTAGTGTATGCTTACGATCCTATAATAGTAAGTATAACGAATAGAGCCGATCCGAAGTTATATGCTTTGGGTAAGTAAGACTGTGTATTTTTATTTTTATTGTTATCATTATTGTGGTTTGACGTATGTTTAATCGGGTGTTTATGTACGAAATTGTAAACACGTGACAAGCAGAAAATTGGATATTTCGATTTCAAACAGATTGAAATGCATAAAATGACTTCATACGTCGACATATTACTATTTATTATATCATATAAGCAAACCAGGGCCGTAGCGCCGCTGTCTAAAAACCAAATTTGCGCTCCTTATATCCAAATTGGTTTTTTACTACGATAAAGTGCTCATTATTTGAAAAAAATGCTCTTGTATACTATATTATAAGTAAATCTTTATTATATTATTAAGTTTAAAAATTGTTTCAATGAATATTATTATTATTATTAAACTATAATAATAGACAAAAATGTTTTGAAAAATAAATGTATCATTTAATTTATTAAATAAAAAAATGTTTATCTTATGTGTTATTACTTAGTAGGTAAGTATTAATTAGTAATAAGTTATTTTTTTTTTATATATTTTGAAATAAGCACATTTCTGCAAAATCTATCAAATATGCAAAAAAGTGCACATTCAAATTTTAGATCTGATATCATGACACCGAGAAATGAATTTATTTCGCAATTTGCTATACTTAAAAATAATTAACAAAAGTATGCAAATGCTAGAAGTCCCTGAGCCTTCTAATTAGGTAAGTATTAATTAATAATAAGTTAAATAATAACTTCTTATAAAATTCACTTTTCTTGCCTATATGGCTATATACTGCTACGAAATCATCTATTACATCATCAAATGATATTTGGTCAGCCGAACTTTTTTCAGTAGACAAATTTTTTAGAAGACTTAGGTTCATCGTAGATCATAAATAATTTTTCATTATCTTTAGCTCACGGAAGCTCCATGTAGCTGTGGTGACTGGAATAGTTAAAATATACTCTAATGCCACTTCTACATTAGGATAGAAATCTTGAAGTGTATAATATATAGTGATGTATGCATTTTAATAAATCTAATTGAGTGGCAGATTGAAATGAACACACGTTATATGAAATTTTAATTTTTCAATTTCTAAAAACAGTTCATACAGTAATTTTATCAACTATCATTTTTATACTTAAACGCCAAATTTGACTCAACGCTGCTTATCATTTATTTTGTCGGATGGCATAATTCTGCTTTAATTTTTGAAATTCCCAGTATTTTAACCAACCAAAACATTTTTTATCTACGTCTATTAAAAAATAACTAATGCAATTAGCAACTTATGTACCTCTATAAATAGTTCAAACATTTTCAATAACTTTGAATATTTTATAGCGTTTAGAAAATACTAACATAAACACTCGGTTAGGATTATGATTACAATTAAATGTCTTATAGGTACTTCTTTGGTTTTTTTATTTTCATAGCGGACAGTTACCTTTCTTCGAGAAAACGCTCATTTATTAAAACGTATATTATTACACACGTTATAACACGTTATTACAATTACATGCAATTATACGTCAAATACAGAATACCTATTATTTTTGATTTCAGTAGGAAATTAAAGTTTTATAATATTATTTGTATTTGTATGTATGTGTTAATTTTAGTTAAACATATTTTCCTACGTTTGCCGAATAAATAACACATAAACTGTGGGGCCCCTCAACTGCAGTCTACTCAGCTCTCCCCGAAAATCCGGTCCTGGTGTAGTGGTGTATCTTTTATGGAACAATCTCACACTTCAACTATATAAGTTGCAGGACTCAGGTAAAAGTTAAATGATAATAGGTATACGGCATAATTTAAATTAATAAACCGAAATCTTTTTTTGAAATGCCTAATTGTTATCCTTTAATGTCACCCAATTTCTAGTTTCCTACCTCATATTATATTAGTTAAAAATCTATTTCTTAACGTTTACGGTATTACATTTGCCTACCATACTGCCTATACTTATCTATACCTATAAAATAACTACAAATCTTAGTTCTTACACTTAAATATTCATATCAATATTATATTTTGGACAAATATAATAGGTCGATTTACGGCCGTGTGCAGCTACTGACTCGTTGTCACGTTTAATTTTGAAAACTACTCCTGAGCAGTCACTGACCGCTGTGCTACGGGAAAAAAAGTGAAAAATTATCAATTCGTGAATTCTGCAGAAAATAGCATTATGTCACATTTCTATATAATAAATAAATTATAGGTACCTACCTATTATTAATCAAGTTCTCATTTTTCAATTACTGGTGAGTGGCGGTGCGTAAACCCATGGATGGAGAGATTTGGGCCCCGTATTGTTTTTCATGACAAACTACCCACGTTGTTACAAATGTAAAAATATATTAAATTATTATTTGATGTTGGCTTAAAATAACAACACTGCACATTGACAATAACAACGCATCAATAACGACACCATGACACTGTCCTATTATATTATGCGGAATACTATTCGTACTACGCACTTGAATGACAAATGTTTTTAACTAGGTAAAATGAGTTAATAACGTGACTATATAATGTAGATAATAAATAAATAAATAATAATAGGATTGTGCCAATTATATGATCATAGTAAACAACTTCATGTATCTTATATTGTACTTTATCTTATTATACACCACTATAGGAAAAACAATGTATACCTAAATATAATATACCGAATATAAATACAGTAAATAATATCAAAAAAGAAATAATTAAATTAATAAATAATAATAAAATATTTTCTACTGGTAGATGTGATTACGTGAATCGGGGCCGTATAGAAATTAGAAATGGGCGTCAGGGAATTGGCTCACATTATAAAATGTAAGTATGGTAGTTAACTACCTACTTTGTATAAAATATTTGTTTGTATTTTGATACCTGGAGATTGGGCCATAAAAATATAGCACACAAAATATACCTACTATTAATAACATCCTATTCCCTTCAACGACATCAGTAGTCGCTAGACCACTACAATTAATACGAATATATAACATTTATTAACTTATACAATTCGTCAAATAATAAATATTTTTTTTCAAATACTTATAAACAGATTCAACAAATGAAATATACCTAAGACAAAGTCCATACAATTAGTCGAATAATAAATAATAATAAATCATTTTTCTTATACTTAAAAATATAATACAGAACAAGGTCCTAAGAGTTAGTCATATGAAATAATTTTTTTCTAGGTAGTAAATAAAAATATAATTATTTTTTTAAATAACATGATCCAGATTGTTCAATTTCAAATCGATTTTTTCCCTTTCTTCATATTATTTTTTAGTTTCATTAAGAATAAATAATATAACGACGTATTACAAAATTATAACAATAAATATAAAACTTTAATAGTGAATCATTCTTCGGATCTACGTATAATAAATGTAAAATTTTAGTGGCCCAATTACGGTAAAAAAGGTAAATTGTGGCCCTATTCCCTATTCCCATAGAAATTATGAGCCCCAGGGCACTTACAATTTTGCACATCTTTTTGGATTTAAAGTCTAGCGAATGTTATGATCCCAGTCTGGACGCATGGGCCCCAGTTGTAGAGATGTCTGTGTGTTGCAGTGGTGTTGGTATAGGAGTCCTTGACGGTATACATCATATGCTATTGATGGTAGTGATTGACATAAGTATAATAGTCTGTATAAAAGCCTGTAGAGCAAGTGCTGGAGTATTGATTGATATTGCTGATATGCATTTGAGCAGATACAATCCTAATGATTACAATAGAAATATTATGGGAGAAAATATTTTGAAAAATGTATTGAATATAAATTTGTTTTTTTGTCATATTTTAGCATATGAATTATGGTTCATAAAAGAATAATTCTTCTGTTAAGATTGAAAAACATTTATTTGTTGTTTTTGTGGAGGTACACTCGTTCACTTCGTGGTTGAGTGGGTTGGTAGAGACTAGTGCAGGGATGGCGAACGTTTCTGTACCTGCGCTTCAAATATAAATGTTGGTTGGATTCTATTTTTCCTGCTTAACTAGTTTCATGATCTTTTTTTAAACCTATAAAGGTACATATTATAAAAAATAGAATATATGTTTAGACTCAAAAGGCTTATACATATGTATATACTATATACTCGTTGTTTTAAAACAATAATAAAACACGTCTGTGAATTTATATTGGCGTCTAGTCCGAAAACCATTATGGCACTATACCGTACGTGATTAGTCATGGTTAAGTCAGGGGATCGTGACACTTTTATTTGTCCATTGTAGTAAATAATATATATATATACATACATATATTTACATTTACACACACACACACACACCCAACACATGAAAGTAGTGTAGTATAGACTATAGACGACACACGCGCGTTCTGCAGTATGACATCATGGTACATAATATGTATGTATAGATAAGTACATATAGTACTACTGTCTACTGGTATACCTAAATGTCCTATATATATGACTATATGGCTATATATTATGTACTACATACATAACCATTAACCGTTTATTAATAATAATATACAATTACGTTTGTACCCAAATGCCAATAGATATAATATAACACTTCGGCCGACTGTGAGTAAATTGAAATCTTGCAGTAACCGCGGTGACAGATAAATTGATTTAAAATCAAATGGAGATTAATCAATAGTCATATGAACTCATATGTATTCAATGGGGTATTTGGAAGTTTCCTCCCACCCCTCTAGGTTTAGCGGTACTTGACTTCTTGAATCAATGTGTATTTTTATACACATAATAATAGATTGGAAAATAGGTTCTTTGGTCTTACCCCAAATATAATATGATCATCCATGACTATATCATCTCCATTCACATTGTGGATTTACCCAAAGGTATTTTAATTTAATTTCTACTTTAATGAGCAATGATTGTTAATCTAAATTCTAAGTCAGGTATGTAAGAGTATTATTTAATTATTTTTAAACATTTATTTAACAATTCCTATAATTATTTAATGAAAATCTCGTAATCAGTACATTTATTTATTTGTATTTGAAATGTCTATACTATTTAATATAATAGATTCTAAGTAGTGCGATGAACATGTTAATTTTACAATGATGATGTGTGTGTGTGTTTTTTTTTTGTGTCTGACATCACGGTTTTGTGCAATAAAAGTGCTTCGATTTTCTTTAACAGCAACTTTTCTGGTAAGAAAGTGAACCTAGTTGGTGCATACAGGAGGTCAAAATTTAAAATTCCCAATAGTTTTCAAAATCAAGGAATGTACTTATGTACCTAATGCGTATGTAAATAATATGTATAGTGCGTCATCTCACATCCATGTATGGTTCGTCGTAATTATTTATTCTGTGTTTTATATGTATGTCTCCCATATGTATCAACTGGCTATTACTAGAGAGAGTTAATAATAATTAATAATATTAAGGAACTCTGGGTACAACTATACTATTGAAATATTTTATACCTATTACATTATAGACATAATGCATTCAATTTTTGGTATCGCCAATTGTTATTCATTCTGATAATATAATCAGAAATAATAATAAAAAAAATGAGCAGCACTCTAGCTAACACGTGATCTTTCCCTTTTCGCCCAAATATTTTAAATCTACTTTCTCTTTTTGCCCAATTATATTGAATAGCACTTTTCAACCACATTTTTATAATACACACTTTGGGTAACACTTACTTTAAATTATTTATGTCTAACATAATAATACATTTGTCATATTTAAATTATTTGTTTGTGTAAATTAGTTTTATAAAGCCATTTAGCATTACCCAGAGAGTACCACAATTAGGCGGTGTCTATTAATCTCCAAAAATGTATTGTGTTTTTGTACATTAATATAATTTTTATATAATTTTTATAAAATGTAAGTAAGTTTTTATCAAAAATATAAATTGTCAAATATTATTATTTGTTAGTATTGTAGTATTAAATAGAATAGTTCAATGACATTGATTTAAGAAAATCATACCGATTGATTGCTCCTGCTTTATATTGTTGTATTTTTTCGTCATCTTTTCGCTGTCGATCTATAACTTTTTTTTATCTCTGGGACACTTTTGTAAATGAATACTATTTAATTTTATGCAGACCTCGGTTTGAATTTCGTTAATAACACTTAAATAGGCACTTATTGGTGGAGAAATATGATTAAAACTTTTGTGAAAACAAGAATGAAAATATTCACAAGCGTTGGTTGTTCTTATTAATTCTGACGTATTAGATGTCCAAATACTCGGTGGAAATAAACAATCTTCAGTTATGCAAGTATCGGTTAAATAGTCACAGTAGTTTGTTAATTTATCATTCACTGGACAATCAGATAATAGGTCTTCAACAAAACAATTTGATACTTGTGATATTTGTATAAAATAATAAATACTCAAAATATTATTGACAAGGTATATTTATTGAACGTCATGAGGCGTAGTAGTTCGCGACACAACTTCGCAACGAACACTGACGGAAACGTAATAATACATATAAATTCACCGGGGTCGGCGCGATATATACAACAAACCACTATCGATAAGCGATAACATATAATATAATATTACACAAATATCACACCTCCCCATTAAAACTAAACTATATTATGTGTATGTTAAAATCGAAAAAATAATTATAATAATAATAAAATATTCATACATACAAATTGAAATTACATTTTTTTTTTTTTTTTTTTTTTTTTTTTTTTTTTTTTTTTTTTT